GAGCTACCAGTAGTGCCCAGAGCCACTAAAAATTTGACAGCTCAGCTAAACCCACCTGTACATCTCTGAGCCATCAACCAAAAATTACAACAATGCCACTGCACACATATATATATATATATATTTTTTCCCCTTCATTTTCCAAGATATACACATGCAGAACAAAACAAAATTTTCTCACAACTTCAATCTCCCTCTCACGTTCCAAACTTCCCTTCTTCCTCTGAAAAATACTTCATCCTCAACTTACCACCCTACACACCAAAAACACCCAGAAATAACCATTTCTCTCCATATTTTATGCACATCCAGAACTGCAGAATATTTTCCAGACCTGCAGAACAGCATGGCTGGGAGGCAGCATGCTGTAGTTTCAATTTCTGGATAGTTTTTCTTGAGTATCAAAGGATCAAGCTGCAAAGGTAGTATCAAAAATGAGATCAAGTACTCCACACGCAAGCTCCCAAGCAGTCATCCTTCTTTCTCCCATCACTACTTTCAAGTTTATTCCTTGTCGTTTCTTGAAAGGATTTCAAGATTAGAGTTGCTGTATTTTTTTTATCCTCAACATGAGGGCTGTTTATTATAGGGTGAAGATATTTACTAGAGATGATAGAGGTCACATTTATTGTCGTTATTATTATGTCACCATATTGTATGTATAGATGTGATTCTCAAGTTGTAATCTTTTGACCTTCACATGTTTTCCATCCTCACTGCCCTTGCAACGATATACATCTTCTTCCCATTATCTTTGATAGTTGTGTAATCATCTTGAGTTCCCGAAACTTCATCACCACTACCCAGCTATACCGGCTTGGCTAGAAGAATTATATTTCTGACTTTGCCAAAAAGTTTGCTGGAGGTTATCATCACCGAGCAAAACAAGATGCTTCGTAGCACATAGCCCCTCGCACGTGAGATGGGTGCCGCCAAAAAGACCCTACTCACTTTCCTCGGGTGTCATCCCGGTCAGTCCTCCACATCATCATTGCCGTTGACTCATCAACCTATATCACCAGTACACCCCAACGTTAGCCTATTGGCTCTTTTTGATATTTAAGTCACTTATAAAGAAAAGATTAATGCCCTTTTTTCTCCTTCCCTTTGAAGATGTTGATGTTTGTAACAGAATAAATTATTTAATTATGGGGCAACCATGACCCATAATATTCTTAAATTCATGATGGTAGAGACTTTTGTCTTTAGTTTTTTTGTTTTTGAATCGAGCCTAGTCTGTATTAAGAGTGATTGAGCGGGAAAGGACTTTAGTATAGCTGGAATTTTACAAAAGACTTGATCTGTTTATGTATCAATTACTAAAGCAGATAAGGTAGACATTTGCTACTAATCTTTTTCTTGTCCTGCATTATCTTCCTACACTTGATATTGGATAAGTTCTAATGAATATAAATATATTGTGTTGGCATATGACTCGTACTAATGACTTTATTAAATATTAAAAAATCAAAACGCAAAACAAAAACTGAAAAACTGGGAAAAACTGAAAGTTAAACAAGAAGGGAATGGGTTTAAGGTAATAAAAATTCCAAACCCCCCCTGCCCACAAAACCCAAGAAAATAAGGGAAAGTAACCAAAAGGGAAAAAAAAAAAAAAAAGTTGGTAAGAAAAAAAAAAGTACCGAAAGGGCAAGAAATTTAAGGCAAAGACATGGCATGAAGGTTCCTAGATTTTGTAGCCATGTTTCTATGAATATGTAATCTATGGTCCCTAGCTGTAGAAGATGATGGAGGTGAAGTATCTACACCTAGTTGTATGTTGCAAATTGCGAACTGGAAGCGTGTGTTGATTGATTTTTTATGGGGTAAAAGTTTCAAGGTATTGAGGAGATTTGATCCCATCTCGCCCCACCTCTTTGCTGCTTGACTTCTTAGTTCTAGCATGATTTCCTCTAATGGAGGATGTCCTTTTTCCTTCCTCTCTCTTCAATCTTCATTTTCACTTTACATTCCATTTTGATGTTAATTCTAATAATGATTATCATACTTTTTTGTGATTGATGACCCAGATTGAGTAATGTTGAGGAACTTACCATGGCTACCATGAAGAAATTAACTCAAGGAATGGCTGAGCACAAATAAACAATGGCCACCGCTAAGGCTGATGAAGCGAAGGATAAGATTGTTAGTGAAGTCTCAGTAAATCCTGCCTTTTAGGCATATTGTTTACTCTGATTCTTTTTTCTTTGAACCAATATCTTCATTTTATTTACATAGAAAATTCAAAAACAAAACACCAGAACTGAGTTGCGCACCTGCAATAACATTTTAGCTATGACAAAGGTAATAGTTATAATGGAGCAAATCCTACTTTCTTTTTTCTCCTTCTGATGATTATTTGGCATGTATGACTGATTTCTAGGCATTTTATCTTTTATATTTTCTTACTTCTATTCAGCCTTTACATTCAAAGTCACCTTCCTTTATTGGGGATAAGAGTGTAAATCTTTCTTGGAAAGAAGCTACAAAACCCACTGCAGCCTCTAATGCAACGACAACTAGGTAATTAGTCCACCTGATTTTCAACTTTCTTTCATTTTCATGTTCCTTGATAACTGAGTGTGAGGCTTCTTCCCTTATAGATGTGTTACAATTTTAGACACTTGGCCCAAATTGAGCCTTCTTAAAATTGCACCATTTTTTATATCTGCCTTCTTTCAATTACTTTGCATCAACTCTTGTGCAGAGTGAAACGACCTGCAAATGCTGGTAATGGATTTGGTAACATGGCTTTAAAGAAGGGCCGTGGAGCTGATGGTTTGGAAAATCATCTTGTTAATAGAGCACTGCAAGGTATATCTTACGGTGGGAGGACAGGTGCAATAGGCAGAGGCAGAGGCAGGGGCAGGGGCAGGGGCAGGGGATGGGGAGGACGTGGGAGAGGAAGAGGCTACCGGTAAATGGAAACTTGAAGCTTATCCCCCTCCAGAAGTATAAATAACCATCATAATTTGGACTCTAATTCCACCCGAGGAATATGAATAGAATCATTGATGTATTAAAACTTGAGTAATTTCTACTCGGATAAGTTTTTTTGGATAGACGATACCAATTACCAATCACTCTCTAAAATTCGTTGTGGACAGAAGCCTGTATACTCTGTACCCCTTGGACTTTGACAAGTCAGTTTGGTAGAGTTTTCATTCCTTGCAATCTAATGTAGAAGTCGCAATTTGCATTGCATACAAAGGATGATTATTGCAAATCTGACAATGTGGGATCTGGCTTCTTATCCATGATTCCATAGCAAGAATGAAGCAGTCTAAAAAGATAAGGGAATTCTATCATTTTCTTTGGGAGAGAGAGATCAATTTCTATATGGTTAGGTGATTCTGCAAGAAAAAGTAGCAAGTACTATTGAATGGCATTATTCAACTATACAGTGATTCAAGTTCAACTACTCAGGAATCATTGTTCTTTTTCATCTAAGACTTTACAATCCCCATTGCCTATTTTCAGAAAATAATAATAATAATAATAATAATAAGACTTTACAATCCAAGAATTCTGCGGAATTTCAATTTCAGCTGATAAGTTCTCCTCAGGAGTTTCCATGCCACTGTCTGGTGGGCTCCCTTATTCCCAACCTAGAGCTCCATTCGGTGTTATCCGGTGCTTGATTAAAGTTTGAAGCTCCTCCTCTGACACTAACCTCTCTGTGGTATAGATGCTTAGAAGGCACAACTGCCATATCCCGGGCCGTCCTATATCTCAGAGGTGAATGGTGTTGAGTTTCCTCTCCCCGGTGATTATATTTCCTTGGTGAGAGAATGATGGAGAGAAGAAAACAGATGGTGGAAGTTCCCCCAGATATAAGATAAAGACCCCAAAAGCTGCGGAGGCTCAACCTATCACTGTTGATTTCAGTTACATTATTTACTGCACATGGATGATCAAACCACTTATCCTCCAGACTTTTCAGAGTTCCATCTTCAAACAACTTCAAAATTGCTCTTGAAAAATCTGCTGCTATTGGAGAACCCTTTTGAAATACCTGCATGGAGAGAAAACCAAGTTTCATTGTTGCTCAATTTAACCAAGAAAGAGGAGATTTTCATAGAAAGATGATAGCCTAGTGCACTCACAAAGGCTAATCCTCCAAATTTAGAGATAGGTTTGGTGGGGATGTATTGATTGCAGTAATGGCGGAGGAAAACTTTCTGATATGGGAGTTCAAGAAAGGCAGCAGTTATGTTGTTGCTTTTGAACTCCCCTTCATATTTGTATTCACTGTCAACGTTCATGATGTTCTTTTCTTCAAAACCAATAACGTCCTTCAGATAACTCTTCACAAATGAATCCCCATCACACCCTATCATCCGTTTTTCATTCTTTAACCAAAAAATGTCTGTAACATTTGGTTCCATGCGCTGGACTGTCAGCATTGATGATAAGCTAGCAGTGTAGCTTGATGTCAAGATCATCACAACAAAGAGCCATACGACCACCACCACTTTGGTCAAGTTGCTATATATTTTCTCTCCTGAAGAAATATAAAATATTGCAGTTATGTCTGCAGTGAAACTTCAAAGAAAGAACGTTTTCTTGGATTGGAAGTAATGCTTACTGTGTGCAAAGAAAATGGAGGAAAAAGTGAACCAAAGTGCTGTTCCTATCTGTGTTTTCCATGGTCCTTCAAATTCAGGATTTGATTGACGTTCCAGAAACCAAACCATGGACATTGTGTAGATCAAGATGGCACCTGTCACCAGCCACATTTCTGTGGGGAAAGGCTTCAGGAAAATCCATACTGACTCCTCAGACTTCACTGGAACAATCATGGACAACCCTGACTCTGTGTATGGCAGTGTAAATTCCACCTTCTTTGCTCTCTCTTCCAGGATTGTTATATCTCCTACAGCAGCATCATACGTCTTGATTTTTGTTGCACAACACAAGCAGGAAACTTCTATAAGAGACAAATTTTTTCAAAAAAAAAACACTACAAGACTCTGGATCCTATAGAAATCTATTATTTTTTTGTCCACTGGACTAGACCAAGTCAAGCTTTGAAAATTCATAGCTTTGAAAACCAACTCGGAGGAGCAATGAATACAAATTCTGCTAGAAACTGATTGATTGATCAGTTTTCATGCATACTTTAAAACTAAAAATTTATCGTTCTAAGATTTTTAGAGAAGAGAAAAGGAAATTTTCTTATTCTACTTCCATGTAACTTCATCAATAACTTATTCTTCAAGCCATCTTTGTCAGCCACAAAAAAACGAAGGAACATCTACTCCTCTTCTTAGATGTGCCATTTACGATGAGATTATCAATGTGAAAATCATGAAATGGAGAGTAGAAAAAACCATTACCTTGTTGTATACACTATGAACCAGGTCGTTGTAGCTGCCATTGAAGGGATGAAATACATAAGGTAGATCATAGTCCAAATGAAGCAGCACCTCGCGGAAAAGTTCGATGCAGAAACCATCATATTTGATCTTACTCGGATTCTCGCCAACCTCAACCTTTACAAACTTCTCAAATGTGGTTCTACCCGGAACTGCTATATTAATTGGCTTTCCATCGGTTGGCATTGCCCATCCTTTTGGCACTCGCTCCAGCTCTGCAGGCCAAGTGACTCTTCCACTTAAATCTATTGATGTATTACCAACAAAATGATCACTTTCATTTCTCTTCTCAAGGCTCCTACTGAAGCCAATCCTCGGCAACCAGAAATCCAACTCTTTATATTTCTTTCCCACCACATTAATGATCCTTAGTGCAGGATCCTGTGACAGTACTCGGCCATTCCTGAAACGAATTTCACCACTTAATCCATTGAAGTTGATTGATAACATGTTCTTCAACAGCATTTCCGCACTAATATCAGGACTTGTCATGCGCTCCAGGGCCTGAGTGATGATTCTGATGCTGTCATATGCTTTTAAGGCTTGGATTCCTGGTTCAAAGTTGTCTTCCTCTGGATGCTCTCTTCTAAAAAGCCTCCTGAACGAGTCATAGAAGCTTCTGTAAGAGCTACTGGCCTCGGAATAAGATGTCTTGATTCCCAAGGAACCTTCCATTGAGGAAATAACTGAGGAATTAAACGAGTCAAGGTAGCTTGAGATGGTATCAGTAATTATCCAAACCGAATCTCTCCCCACAAATCCCATCGTCTTAGCTTCTTCAAACAAATGTACAGTCATTGGTGAAGATGCCTGAAGAACAACGAAAACCCGAGACTGTATACTTTGTAGCTTCTCTAATTCTTCCTCAAGAACCTCTTTTGGATTAGAAATGGAAGAAAATGGGGGAAGAATCAATCTGTGCTCAATCTCTGAACCCAATTTCTGAAGAGCCTCAGATAATTCAGCTGCCTTTCCATAATCACCACCATAGACACCATCCTCATATACTGCTATAACCTTTCTCCAGCCATACGAAGATATGATAGCTGCAATGCATTTCATCTGATCAGAATCATTAGTAGCCATTCTAACCAAATAAGGCCACCGGATGGCTGCTAATTTGGGTGGTGTGGCGGATGATGCAAAGGAAAGAACTGGAATTCGAGCTTTGCTTCCTATATCAGCAACCAGAGCAGCTTCTTCCCATGTCTCCATACCTATAATCACTTTGACATCTTTCTCTTTGATTAATTTTTCAGCTGCAAAGAAATTTATCTCTCTTCCATTAGCAAAGGCCAACAAAAACCAAGGCAGAAACAGCATAATTACTAACCAGCAGTGGCAGATACAAAGGGGTTTCTTCTGGAGTCCTGAATGTACAAAGACAAATTATGATTGTTTGAGTTCACGTTGAAGCTTCGAACTGCAATTTCCAGGGCTGTTTTCTCTTCTTTCCCAATACGAGAATCGACATCCATGATTGCACCGATGTGGATGACTCTTCCATCGTTTCTGGCCTCAGCTACAAATGAGAGGAAACTGAAAAAGGAGATGAGTATTAAGAAGAAAAGCCTAAGTTTTGAACTACGAACAGAAGTTATTGAGGAGAAAGGCTGTTGGACTTCAAAAGCACTTGTAATCATATTGCTAAAGAAACTATGGAATTTAGTAATGAGATTCAGTTACTGTAAACTTGTAATGGCACGATACACATTTGTTATGTAAAACCGTGTTGGAGAACCAGAATTTGAAAGAGTCAACGAAAGATATGGGTGCTAAGTTATGGTATCTTGGGCTTCAGTCACGCGGAATAAACGAAGAAGAGAAGTGGCCACAATTTTTCATCTCAATACCCAATGAAAATTCGGAAATTTTAACCATAACAGAAAATTTGGCTACTACTTGGGGAAGGCTTGACTGAAACTGAGTTCGGCCGAGACTTATTTTATTTTATTTTCTAGAGAATTTGAGGCAGAAATGGGGTTAGGACTTGTCTTGTGTTTGCTCCCGGCAAGTGGCAAATCCACTTAATTAAGGCACCACGGAAAATGGTTTCATAGTTCAGACGGCAGTAGGGATGGCAACTTGCTCTCATTAGGCCCACGGAGTGCATTCTTGTGGGGATTTTTGATGGGACAGAATCAATCCTTATTGCCGTTATTTGTGGGGAATAGGTACATGGTAATTTTTTGCCCACGTCAATCTATATTATAAAATTAATTTAATTATTTTTATTTTATTATTTTAAAATAAGTTATTTTAAATAGTTGAATTAAAATAAAAAATATTAAATGTAGTTTAATTTAAAATAATTAAATTTTAGTATTAAGTTAAAAGTAAAAATGAGTAATGTTTATACTCATAATTATGAGTTAATTATTTAAATTGTGTTAAATTTAATATTTTTTTATTTTTTTAATATTTCACAAAAAACTAGATTTGATTTGTGGGGTGGAAAAATGTTCCTTGTCCACGTTACCCTATGACTTAAGTCCTGGCGAAGATTCGAGACAATTGTCACCTCTACATGGTATGAATAACCTTTTCTACTTTTCCTTTTAAAATACATTTGGTTTGAAAAATATTAAAGGAAAGGAAGAGATGATTTTTTTAACCACCGCCGAGTGGGTGAGGGTTTATGTTATGATTTTAGTTCGCACTTAAATTTTGTCTTTCTTGACTATAAGAAGGTGGAGGAGTATTTGTGTGCGCAGATCTCTGATTTAACTAAGTAAATTATAATATTAACTAATAGTACAATTTAATAACTCAAAAAATTTGTTTCTTCTCTTTCATTTTCTTCATTCCTCTTAAACCAAACATACATTTAAAAGAATTTGTAAAGGTTCACCCAAATAAAGAAATGGGGTTAATACTTCACGCATTTGGGACATATTTATGGCCTCCTAGGTCAAGCAATATGATCGATTTTAATTTCTAGTTTTCACTTCTAGTTGTTTAAAATATAACAATATAACAATCAAAATGCATAGGGAATAAAATATATATATATATATAACTAACAACAACAACTCTAATTTTATGTTTGGATTAAGGGAAATAAAAGGGAGGAGAAGGGAATTTTTTCACTCCATTCCTCTCCATTCTCCTCTCCTCTCCTCTCTTCCCTTCATTCTTTTCATTTGGATAAATAGCTAAATTAAAAAAAAAAAATAAAGTAAAGGGAACTTCTCTTCATTCCTTTTATTTGGATAAATAACTAAATTAAAAGAAAAAATAATATAAAGGAAATTTCTCTCTTTCCTCCCTTTAATTATTTTTGATAATCAAATAAAAAATTTTGTTTCTTTTCTTTCTATCTAAATATACTATAAACAAACCTTTAAAAAGAAAGGGAGTACCTTTTTTTCGCATAACAAGCCCATTATCCCTAAGGTAAAAAAAACCCATGAGCCCATGTCATATGTTGGGCTTAGAACCTAGATCCAGTGGGTTTTACCGTTCACCTGAAAGACCCAAATGTACCAGAGTAACCATAGTTGAAAGGAGCAAACGGCAAGCAAGACTGTAGAGCTGAGCTTACAATGTGGCAGTTCTATGGAAAACCAGGCACCGAGAAGCCTCGCCTCCTCGACGACGAGGAAGGCGGTGCGCCTTTTCTGTCATCTTTTTTCTCTTCCTCTTCTTCTGGGTACACTCATTTTCTTTCGTTTTCTCATTTCTTCTTCCAATTATATATCCTTCAGCGCCTATGAGGTGTATGAATGTGGTTGAATTGTATGCGTGTTCTACAAATATGGGTTTGCGAGTATTGTGAAGCAGTGGCAGAGACTGCCGGCATCCAATTACAGAACCGCCATTCTCTATTTGGTGGAGATTCATGCTGCTACCATCATTGTTGGCGAAACGGGTAGCGACGAACCAAGTTAAGATTCGCTGCTTGCCGAGGTATTATATTTTGGTCTTGAGTGTTGTGCATTATTGTTGCGAATCCTTGCCTGATTAGCCACATGCTTTGATGCATCAAAGTTTCATCTTTTATTTTGTCCCAGAAGTCAGCAATTTTGTACTTGAGCACTTTCTTGCTTCTGTCTTGACCTCGTTAATTGCCCAACCTAGTTTCAACCTCCCTGCTGTTCTTTTCACTCTGTTTATGGATTTTTGCTGCAATTCTAGGTCTGCTCCTTTTGTCATCTTTTTGGTTCCTGTTCTAAAGAAATTTATGGGATGTACAAGAACATCAGAGGATCACAAGAAGTTTATATCCATCCATGATATATACTATTCAGGTTGGTAGTGGATTTAATACTATTCACAGGAAGTTTAAATTGTGGCTTATCGTATTTTACTAGAAACTCTCATACAAAAAAAATATTTCCTTCTCCTCAAGATACTGTTAATTTCTTCAGGCAGATTATCTTTTGAGAACTTAAATTGTGTTTTTCAACTTTCAGGGTCAATCTGAAGTGGGTTGTAATACCATTCTGTTGTATCTACTGATCAGCAATAATATGTGGCCAATGTCATTCCCATCAATCCTCTTGGTTAACAGAAGCTGCTCCACATTTTTACCAGCAGCAATGGAACAATCCCATGTATGAATATATATTATTGTATATTCCCCGCATGAATTTTTGAATTCTCTTGAGGAGTTCATGAGCAGATTAAGGTGATTTATTTTCTAAACAATATGGTCTAATCTGTTATGAGGTCTTCTTATGGAATCCTTTTTTCCCTTGTTGAAAATAGAATGAAATCATCTTCTTATGAAATTTATGACATCAAATTTTCCCAATTTCCTCCATTCCTCATTGAGCTTCATCTACTGGACAACCATTTAGACTGGACTGTTAGTTCAGTTTGTTTCAAATCAATATGTAAGACTTTCACCATAAAGTATCCTCAATTTTAACATATTTATGTATTATAATGTTGTTCTGGCCGCGGACATTTCCATGTCCTGTTGTCCATGTCTTCTTGTTCACTGTCATGTAATACCATGTCCTCAGCATACCACCAGAGATTGATTTAAACTGCCCTCACTCAGTGTTTGTTCATCTGTATCTTCTCCTTGATCAAACAATGCTGAGAGCTTTATTTGTTGTTCTTCTAGTCTTCTTAATAATCCATTTAGGAAACAGTCGTTTCATTAGTGAGAAATCCAGTTTCCTATCAGATAGGATGATAGAGCAGACTGGCCAATTACCAGTCGTTGAGTTTGAGCTCACATCAACAACCGTGACATGCAAACTCACTTATGGTTTCTTGCCATGTGCGGGGACAGTATGGGATTACCTCTTCCTCTTGGTGGTGTATGAGTACTTGCTCTCCCTCTCGGAGCAGTACATTTCAAGTGGATCTAACCTCTTCTTTGGAATGTTTGGAACTGGTATATTTGGGGCCACTTTGTTCCAAGTCCTTGGCATTTTTCCTCAGATAATTCTGCTTCTCGGTAAGCTCTCTCTAGCCATATATTTCTTTCTTTTGTTTATTCTATCATATAATTTAATGGTGTGAAATTATGATCTGAAATTTTATCTTTCATTTTCTTGGAAAAATTTTTTGCATAGCTTTTGATTTGATTTTTCCCAAGAATGGTGTCCAACTCTCAAAAAATAAGAATTTGATACCATTAAGTTGGAAATCTCATATTAGAACCTTGACATATGTGGCGAGGGATTTAGAAAAAGAGAGTGTTATCTCATGTTATATAGCTCATCATCAATTATTCCTTAATATATATCTTATTACATGTAAGCAGATGTCACTGCTGATATTTATTTTATTTTATTGTCATTTGACTAACTTAAAGCAATCTGAGTATATCCCTGAGGCAAGATTTGTCCATATATAAGTCGCCAAAGATTAGGTATTTCTCTTGTTTGCAATCCTAATTTTGATTAATCATGGGACCAATGAGACCAAACACAAAGAATAGTTGCTGTTATGGTTAACGTTAAAGAACACAATGTTGGCTGAGCAAAAAACAAAAATGTTAAAGAACACTAGAACATCAAAATTTTGAAGGATAAATTGAGTGCATAAACAGAATATATTCCATTTCATTCCTTTAATGTATCCAGAAAGCAGTATGAACTTTGAAGAGCTTATGTAAAACAATGTTGTGTTGCAGTTTCTATAGTCTCAGGAAGTGAGGACACTGTTGAATCTATGGCAGAAATGTCGATGAGCATGCTTGCAGGATCAGCAATCATGCAACTTACTCTTATTTGGCCTTCTGTTGTAGCTTTTGGTAGCTATGATCTTTCACAGACCTCAACTTCATCAAATTCTGATACTGAAGTGACTTCAGTTTCATCAAATTCTCAGAATAAGAAACCATTCAGCTTAACTGGTTTTTCACTCCTATCAGTTCTTGATCATTTTACTTCCAGAACAAGAAACATCTTGAATTAAATCGTGAAAACGTGTAATTTTACTTGTATGAGCAGGATACGGCGTGAGAACTGACATTCATACAAATTACACAGCAAAAATAATGCTTCTGTCAATGGTTCCATTTCTGATTCTTCAGCTTGCTCAGATTCTGAACTCTCCCACAGCTACCCAAATAGTGGTCTTAGTTTCTCTCATCATTTCTGTTGCTTTCGTTGTCAGTTACAACACCTACCAGGTACAAAATAAATAATAAAATAAAAATTAAGAGCATGGTATTGGTAAGGCAACTATATTTTGAGTATTCTTATGTGCTCAATGTTAGATCATCCTCGTAAAAACTGTGATGGATTTTTTTGGCAATTTGATTGATAGATTAATGTTGTTTAACAGGTATTTCAGCCTTGGATTAGAAAAGGAGACTTCAATATGTGATGCGTAAATACATACAAAAGAACTTGCTGCAAGCACTTCTTACTAGTGACAGAAGGCCAGATGAAACCAAAACAAGAAAGTAAGCCTGATTCATCTGTCTAGTTTGTAAAGTTAGTCAAGCTTCAGAAGCCTGTTGGACTGGACATCATTCATTATCCTTTGTCAACATAATTTCAGGTTGTTTTATAAGATTGACAAGAATAATGATTCGCATATATCAGCCAATGAACTGAGATCACTGATACTCGGAATACAAATAGAAGAAGTTGGCTTGGATAAGGATGACTTTGCAACAAAGGTGATGGAAGAGTTTGATATCTCTGGTGATTCTAGTATAGGTGAAACACAATTCATAAAAGGGCTCTCAGAATGGCTCATCAAGGCCAACAATGATGCAAATGGTGAAGATAATGAACAGCAGAAACTTTTTAGTACTAAAGTTAAGGTATGTATTGAAACAAGATTCAAGAACCAGGATGCTAAACATAACTATGACGTCTTGATAAACATTCAAT